ACGCCAACACACACACACACAAGCCAACACAGCATTACGGGGTGCACCTGCAATATTTGCTTTTAAAATTCAGGGGGGAGAAGAAAAAGTGCGTCTCATAATCCAGATAATGCAACGTTATGCGGGAATGATCATTTGCCATCAGCACGTTGTGCCTGTGCGTTATGTACAGGGCTGTATTTAAAGTATACTTCGCAATAAATCTGAACAACAACAACACGACCTCTATGTTTTGTGCCTTTTTTACGCAAACAAGTGATTAACAGGACAACAGTCTAACTTTAACGCAACTTGACTTCTTTAAAAAAACAAAAAGTCTGTTGCACACTCAGTTTACTATTGCTTGACAAAGCCAGACTCGCGACTCAACGAAGCATATGTGACGATCAGCGTACAGGTTACATTTTGAACAGTGTAATTACGCAACGCCAGATAATACTAAATTCCAGATGCATTCTGTATGCTTTCGCGACATTTAATGAGTCATGTTTAGCGAACCGTTCCATGGAGATTTTTTGTGCGTGTTGGTGTATGTGTGTTGTTCTGAAGAAAGGTTTACAGTGAGGGAAAAAAGTATTTGATCCCCTGCTGATTTTTTACGTTTGCCCACTGACAAAGAAATTATCAGTCTATAATTTTAATGGTAGGTTTATTTGAACAGTGAGAGACAGAATAACAACAACAAAATCCAGAAAAACGCATGTCAAAAATGTTATAAATTGATTTGCATTTTAATGAGGGAAATAAGTATTTGACCCCTCTGCAAAAACATGACTTAGTACTTGGTGGCAAAACTCTTGTTGGCAATCACAGAGGTCAGACGTTTCTTGTAGTTGGCCATCAGGTTTGCACACATCTCAGGAGGGATTTTGTCCCACTCCTCTTTGCAGATCTTCTCCAAGTCATTAAGGTTTCGAGGCTGACGTTTGGCAACTCGAACCTTCAGCTCCCTCCAAAGATTTTCTATGGGATTAAGGTCTGGAGACTGGCTAGGCCACTCCAGGACCTTAATGTGCTTCTTCTTGAGCCACTCCTTTGTTGCCTTGGCCGTGTGTTTTGGGTCATTGTCATGCTGGAATACCCATCCACGACCCATTTTCAATGCCTTGGCTGAGGGAAGGAGGTTCTCACCCAAGATTTGACGGTACATGACCCCGTCCATCGTCCCTTTGATGCGGTGAAGTTATCCTGTCCCCTTAGCAGAAACACACCCCCAAAGCATAATGTTTTCACCTCCATGTTTGACGGTGGGGATGGTGTTCTTGGGGTCATAGGCAGCATTCCTCCTCCTCCAAACACGGCGAGTTGAGTTGATGCCAAAGAGCTCCATTTTGGTCTCATCTGACCACAACACTTTCACCCAGTTGTCCTCTGAATCATTCAGATATTCATTGGCAAACTTCAGACGGGCATGTATATGTGCTTTCTTGAGCAGGGGGACCTTGCGGGCGCTGCAGGATTTCAGTCCTTCACGGCGTGGTGTGTTACCAATTGTTTTCTTGGTGACTATGGTCCCAGCTGCCTTGAGATCATTGACAAGATCCTCCCGTGTAGTTCTGGGCTGATTCCTCACCGTTCTCATGATCATTGCAACTCCACGAGGTTAGATCTTGCATGGAGCCCCAGGCCGAGGGAGATTGACAGTTCTTTTGTGTTTCTTCTATTTGCGAATAATCGCACCAACTGTTGTCACCTTCTCACCAAGCTGCTTGGCAATGGTCTTGTAGCCCACTCCAGCCTTGTGTAGGTCTACAATGTTGTCCCTGACATCCTTTGAGAGCTCTTTGGTCTTGGCCACGGTGGAGAGGTTGGAATCTGATTGATTGATTGCTTCTGTGGACAGGTGTTTTTATACAGGTAACAAGCTGAGATTAGGGGCACTACCTTAAATAGTGTGTTCCTAATCTCAGATAGTTACCTGTATAAAAGACACTTGTGAGCCAGAAATCTTTCTGATCGAGAGGGGGTCAAGTACTTATTTTTCTCATTAAAATGCAAATCAATCTATAACATTTTTGACATGCTTTTTTCTGGAATTGTTGTTGTTATTCTGTCTCTCACTGTTCAAATAAACCTACCATTAAAATTATAGACTGATCATATCTTTGTCAGTGGGCAAACGTACAAAATCAGCAGGGGATCAAATACTTTTTTCCCTCACTGTGCTTCAAGCGGTGGGATTGTCCACGGACATCACACGAGTTCCTTGTTTGTGTTCCCATTCACTTTAATCAGAATTATTAAAAATAAAACCCGCACAAACTTACGCGCGAACACGCGCGCTGCTCACACGCATCGCTCACACAATCGAAGACAAAGATCCCCCGTGTAGCCTCAACAGACTGTTTGGGCTAGTGCTGTTAGCGAGCACCTATGAAGGCCAGAACGAGGGGTTGGGTGGCCAGCACTACGCCCGGCCGCCTTTGTCTCCCCAGTGGCGATGTTTACACACCACAACAGGTGCTCATTTGAGGCTGAGTCGATCTAGGAGGAGGCCCAGGACCGGTTCAGATAATCGTCACTGGTGTTGGCCGTGAGCGGGAATCGAACCCGAGTCGCCAGGTTCATAGCGCAGCGCGCTAACCGCTACACCACCGCTCCCCACACGCATCGCTCACACGGGCGCACACACACACACGCCGTCCACACGCAAAGATGCCTCGCCCATCCACGCATGTTTTGATCTACATTCCGTGAAGCACCCGTATTACATGCTCTCAAAGAGAAAACGTGGGAGCGCCTAAATGTCCAACACGTGTATGTATGTTGAACGTCTCTCGCGCTGTACGTAGCCAACCGTGCTACTCGGAGGTGGAACGCTTGGTTAGATTTCTCCTCTCGCATCAAAGTTAGTCGCAAGGGATATTGAAATCTGGAATTGTGACTTTGACGGCACACAGTGGCCAAAGGCTTGCCCGTTGGGAGACGTCACGTCCCGCGCGAGCCGGTTCCACTTTTTGAAACTCACACACGCGGATTCAGACATCGAACCCCCTCCCATCTAAGAACACATTAACGTGGTTCAAAAACATTTGAGAAATTGCAGATGATGTCCCCCTCTGAATGAGCGAGTCTCGGCTCCGCGAGCAGACCTCTCGGTTCCAAATCTCGTCGACATGTGCGTGATTAATCAGCGACGAACAACAATCGCGCGTACGCAGCCGTGCCGCGTGAGTACGCGCAACTTGACCCCTGTTGAGAAAGTCCATTCCTCCCCCTCCCGGTGAACCCCCAATAACCCCTAACCCTCGCTCGCATTGTATTAATAGATTCATTAATTCGGCCCAGATCACACACACACACAAAAACACAACGACATGCCCGCCCGCCCGCCCGCCCGCCCGCCCGCCCGTCCAGGAAAGTGCCGCTTTTCTAAAGGTGAGTGGTTAGTTCAGCACCGCGCCCGGCCGCCTCTGCCTCTCCAGTGGTGATGATGTTGGCACAACGCACCGTTTCAGGCTGAGACGACCTAGTTGTGGGACACGCCGGGCGGGTTCGGATGCCGCCGCCCACTTTGCTGACGATGGCCGTGAGTGGAACCCCACGTGGCCGCTAAAGTTGACATCACGGCGCAGCGTCGCCACCCGTTATAGCGGGGGACACGCGCTCGCTTTTACGCTCAACGACGCACGCTTCTGATTAGCTCACAGAAACAAAAAAATGCGGCGCAGTTAGATTGGAGACCTTAAACAAACCTCCAACTCACCCCGACTGCTATTAAACACTGTACGTTTCCACAGCTGTTTTACAGCAGCAGGTCAAGCGCCGCGCGATTATGTACAGCTTTGTGGAATTCTCTCTTTCTCTCTCTCTCCAGGCTACTCTGCTCTCTCCTCCACACAGAAGCCTGCTGTGCTTGAGACTTGTGGCTCCCAGGGCAGCCTGCGGCGCCAGCTGTCTGCTGCTGCTACAGCTGCCGGTGCTGCTAGGACAGCGGCTGGGCACGAAGCTCTCTCTCTCTCTCTGTGCGATCGAGATGACACACTCGGCGGTTGTGGCATCACGAAAAGGCCTGCAAGGGAGGAAACCGGACTCGTAAGGCTGTAGAGAATTCTATACTATTGCGGTAATAATTGAAACCAGAGGAAAAATATCTACATAATTTATGTGAAACATGCAGCCCCCCCCACCCCCACATCACTCTCCTGCCCAACTCCCAACGCCGCTCGGCGCATAAACTTTTCTTTTTGTCGAGCTGCCAACAAACGGTGCTAGTCGCAAACGGAGCCTCAGCCTGGAACAAGTGGGCACCATCGCGCTACTGCGACCCTCGCAGCCGCCGCGAGGCTCTGCCGGTTGCACGCCAAGCGGCGGTGGCCTGTCTGCGTCTCTGAGCTTCGCGACGAGTGGGGCGACCGACTGAGCAAAAAAGTGCAGAGGCACGCGGGCAGGGCCCTTGCCGCGATCGCGAGCGACGCCGTGGCGCGTAACGAGGCAGCCGGCATTCACGGTGGGGCTCCCGACGGCGACCTCTGACCTCTTTGGGTCGACACTCCCTTCACATTCAAAACGGTCACGGCTGTGTCCTGGCTCACTCCTGGGGAGGAGGAGACCCTGCAGGGGGGGGGGGGGGGGGTTGCACGCCCCCCTCTTTGAGGGAGAGGCAGCCCAAAGTGATCTGCTCTCAATTTTCAAATTGCTGGCCACGACGACGCAACACACGAGGGCCAACCGCGGTCAAGGCTCGCCGTCCTCCCTCGTTATCCTTATTATTTAATAATTTTGAAACGGCAGGAACACAACAGAAAGGGGTGCAGTGTTCGGCGACTTGTTTTGGAACACGCCTGTTCGCTGCACGCACGCGCGCAATCGGGGATCAGATCGCGCCCCCAGCCCCCCCCCCCCCGCCTCCGGCGCTCGCTTCCCGCCACCTCCGCGGCAAAACTTGGGCCGCTCTCGTCCAATGAATTACGGCAACAGGGGCGAGGGCTCAACGCGACCCTTGCTGAGCTGTCTCGGCAAAGCCCTCGCGTTTCTAAACGGTGGTCCTCGACCCCCCCCTCCCTCCCCCCTCGCGTCGTCACCTCCGTCGGCCTCCGTCGGCCGCCACCCGGTCAACCTTCGGCCGGCCTAGTCTTGGGCGCCTTCTCGTCGCGCTCCAGGCTCTGCTCGCTGCTGCTGCTGTTGCTCGTGCGGCTGTCGTGCCGCCCGTCCCCCAGGGACGCCTTGCCGTTGCTGAAGGCGCCCGGGGTACGCGCGGCGAACGCGAGCTGCGAGCCGCGGGAGGCCCCGCCCCCTCCCGCACCTCCTCCGTTGGGGGTCAGGCGGTCGCCCGCGCGCCGCCGCCGCTGCTGCTCCTCGGCGGCGCACGACGCGAGGCTCCCGGCGCGCCTCCTGGGCGCGGAGCGCCTGCTCAGCGCCGAGCAGCCGAAGAGGAGGCGCTTGAAGGCCTTCCGGAAGTCGGGGCTCCGGCAGTAGATGAACGGGTTGAAGGCCGAGTTGATGTAGCCCAGCCAGTTGAAGAAGAAAAAGAGCTTCTTGTCGACGCACGTCTTGCAGAACGCCTTGATGATGTTGGAGATGAAGAAGGGCAGCCAGCAGATGGTGAAGGTGCCCATGATGATGCCGAGCGTCTTGATGGCCTTCTGCTCCTTCATGGAGACGACGCGAGAGGTGCGTCGCTTCGACAGGCGCCTGGGCATCGCTCCGCCGCCGTCGCCCGCCGCGGCCCCGACGCCGCCGGAGGACACCTCGTAGAAGCGGCCCTCGTTCTTGTCGATCTTGCGCAGCTGCTTCTTGGCCTCCTGGAAGACGCGGCCGTACACGAACACCATGACGATGAGCGGCACGTAGAAGGACACGACGGACGACACGATGGCGTAGGGCGCGTTGGTGATGAAGTCGCAGCAGTCCTGGTTCTTGTAGCACTGCGTCGCCTCGACGTCGGCGTTGTCGCGCCACCACAGCATCTGGATGGGCAGGAAGGAGATGAGCGCCGAGATGCTCCACACGACGACGACGATGAGGCGCGCGCGCGCCTTCGTCAGCAGCTGCTTGTAGCGCAGCGGCGCCGTGATGGCCAGGTAGCGGTCGAGCGCCACCACGCACAGCGTCTCGATGCTCGCCGTCACGCAGAGCACGTCCACCGACGTCCACAGCTCGCACGCCGACGAGCCGTGCGTCCACACGCTGTCCGTCACCACGAGCCCGGCGCTGGGCGGCACCACCAGCACGCCCATGACCAGGTCGGCGCACGACAGCGACACGATGAAGCAGTTGGTGACCGTCTGCAGGCGCTTGAAGCGCGCTATCGCCAGGATGACGAGCGAGTTGCCCAGCACGATGATGAGCATGATGAGGGCCATGAGGAAGCCCATGCCGATGGCCCACGACTGCGTGTAGCCGGTGGCGCTCGCCGTCTCGTTGGCCAGGCCGTCGTCCGCGCTCTGGTTATGAGTGATGCCGCCGCCGCCGCCGCTGTCGTTGCTCGAGGAGGAGGAGGAGTTGACACGGTGCTCCATGGCCGTGCGCCTCCTCGGTGCGGGCGGGAGTGGCGCGTGGCACGCGCGCATCGGCGAGGGCCCTCCTCCTCGCGCCTAGGCCCGAGGAGACCTCGTGCCGCCACGCGCGGCCCTTTGGGGCGAGGGATCGGGGGGGGGGGTGGAGGGTCAGGGATGGTGGGGGAGGGGGAAGTGAGAATTAAAAAGACGTTCCTCAAGTCGTAGAGCCAAGTTATGACCAAATCACCCAGATATCGCCACATCCCGGACGCTAAGCAGAGTTGAGTCTGGGTACGCCCTTGGATGGGCGACCATCATGCGCACAACAGGTGGTATACAGGTCGACACGGGGCTATGTGGTGGGTAGTCCAGTGTAGCAACATCCGCTGTTGTGCTGTACTTCCATGCGCTGCCGTCTGGCCGCTGACACCAACCCTTTCTGACTAGCGTGGTGAAGATAAACAAGACCCACGGCCCTCCACGGTGTGTAGAGGGCCTGGCCCAGCAGTGGATTGACCATAACGGCCACGCACGTATCACAATCAACGAACACGCGCGCGCGCGCATTCGCACGCCGTTCATGTCGCTGAGAGAAAGGAGGAAAGGTAATGGGCGTATTATGGCATTCGAATAATGGGATCTGCACAAGTTTAGAGTTTAGAACAATTCCAAGTTGCCACCAATCACCAGTTGCATGTCTGCTCTGGGCAGCGTTCCGGGAAAATTGTTTTTGTTTTTCCTGCACCGAGTACGCAACATCCAGAACTCCTTCTCGCCATGACCGTGGGTACTCGTCGCACGCCTACTTCAAGTCTGCCAGCGACCCGAGAAAACGTTCGGTGAGCAATGTAAGCTCCGAGCAGAGGGCTATTGCAAACATTTACATTCGGAAGCTCGCGTCGCGATGCTGTCCAAAAGGGGGATTTTGGGGGAAGGAAGCAATTTGAAGCGATAGTCTTCACGGGGTCAACCGCGTTCATAATGGCCACCACGTCGCCGCCGACTTCACCCGTCTGTTGATGCCCCCACGGTCTGGAATGCTATTGCCAATAAACTGCAACTTGAATCGCTACCAATGAGATCTTCTCTCAAAACTGCTCTAGAGGAGTTGTACACCCCTAGCTGCCACTGCTATTCATTGGCGTCAAGTAAAATAAAATGTTTCGCTCCGGATGACGCTTCAATGTATTATCTGTATTTTGATTTAGCGTGCTGATCTTAAAGGTGCATTGAAAAATTTGATACTCCGACTGATGCTTCTGTTGTTGTGAAGTAACTCATGGAGCCAGCTATGGCTCTACGATTTGATGTTACATGTTATTTATGTAGTTGATTGTAAAAATTCGGTCACAGTCCCTATGATCACTGTTACGTTGCAATTATGGCTTTATTTTTTGGTGATTTCGAAAACGTTTTTTGGTTTGGACATGTTTGTTTTGTTGTAGTACGGAGTTAGACTGATGGCCTTAATCTAAGTTTCCTTGTGGTTGTTGTTGTTTGACTTGCATTCCACTGGGATTTTTTGCACACAGCGTTGGTGTACGGTGCTTTTTTGAGGAATATTTTGCTGTTTCTTTTCATGGATTTTCTGTTTGCACAGTCACATAGTCACTTTAAGATGTTTTCTTGTTCGTGTTTTTTGTTTGTTGTAGTTGCACCCGATTCAAGAGCCGAATGGCTCACAGGGCTATACCAAAATAATTAAACTGAAAATAAAACAAACTGAAACTGAAACCCGTCGCCGCACGCGAGCGGTGTGGCGGCGCGCGCCGCTTAAATCCGCGCGTCGCTCGCGACAACGGAACGTGCGCGTCGCCCCCCTGGGGCCGCTCTTACCGGGGAGTGGTGCGCACAAAAAAACAAACACCGTGGGGGTGTGGCAACAGTCGATCTCAAGCGAATTTTAAAGAAATGCCAAACGCCAAATGGAGAAGGAGCAACGATGTGGGCCGCTGTTGTCCGCTAGCACGGTCGGCTACGTCGAGCGTGCGTTCTGCCCTGATTCTTTCACCCCCTGTGCCTATGAGGACAGTGATGAAGCCTCTGCTCACACACTTTCTTGACTAAACTACACGAATTTAAAAGGGGTTGCTTAGCCTTCTGCAGGAGGAAGGGGGGCAGGGGTGGGGGGGGCAGCACTCATCCCTCTCCAGCAGCCCCCCCCCCCCTCCCATCAACCCGACGCCACTGCGCTACGAACCCAGCAACCCGAGTTCGATTCCCGCTCACGGCCACCAACACCAGTGACGGTTGTCTGAACCGGTCTTGGGCCATCCCCCAGGTCGACTCAGCCTCAAATGAGTACCTGGTGCGCTGTGTAAGCATCGCCACTGGGGAGACAAAGGCGGCTGGTCATGATCCTGGCCACCCACCCCCTCGTGTGCCATGCCGGCCTTCATAGGTGTTCCTTAACAGCACTTGCCCCAAAAGTATGTTTTAAGGCTATAAGGGGGATATTTGTCTTTGTGTGCGCGCGCACATACACACGCCCGCGTGAACACATGAAAGCTCTCAATTTGAGATTTAATTTTTAACGGCTTTTCTTCAGCGAGATTAGCGGCGTTAAAGGCATATTAAATGAGGGATTAGGGGGTCAGCCTGCGTGGCTCGGTGGCGGGTTTCCCCCGAACGCACGGCCCCTGTCGCATTGCATGGCTACCCTCACAAATATCCAATCATCAAATCAAATAATTAGTGCTCTTGGTATTCGCGAAAGGCCATTGCGAAGATTCTGCGTTTCACCATTTCGCAGATGAGAATATCGGTAGGCTGCAGCAGTTTCGCAGTCGAGGGGGGGGGGGTGGTAGGGGGGCAACGTTGCTATATTGGTTTCACCCCATTAGGTAATTACGGAGTGATTTTTAAACGTGGGAAATTTGGGCCACGTGGTGACGGCCACACACGCGGCCGAATTTGTTTCGAATAACGTCACGGGATCTTTCACGTCCGTTGTGAAGCAGATCGCGCGTTTTTTTTTGTTTGTTTACAATTAATAACCCCGTGGTATTAACCGGGGCGGTCGCTGTGTTCGAACCGCAAACCTCGGCAACAAGCTGCGAACGCGCGATTGTTCTCGTCACCCCCAGGTGGTCCGTTAAAACAAAACTCGCGCCCGTGGTGCTCCACTTTTGGAACTGAGGGTTCGTGACTCACGGAGGCTGCCACCATCTCCGACAATCCAATAGCCGTCAGGCGGCCAAGAGATGGCAGTACAGAAAGTAGGTGATCTGACCTGTCTGCATTGGATCTTTGAGGCGTTTTCCTCCCGTATTCGTCATGGGGTTGTCCTCCGGGATTACTCAGGGTTTTTCTCGCACGCCCGAACATTCATGACAATACGATCGCCGATACGTGCCAACGTAATGGGATGCTTCTGGAAGAAGTAAAAAAAAAGTATCTTAAATGGGGTCTGGGAACTTGATCGGTGAACTTTAATTCTCTGTGCAAACCAATACCGGTACTGAAAAGTGAACTGCAATGTGGAAGAAGCCCTGCAGGTAAATAACATTACAGTATTATTATGTATTATTCATTCATGCCTTGGGCCGAAAATGACGAATGAGGCAGGCAGGCACGTGGCACAACACAGCCACGCGTACGCGGCTGCTATGTTGATGAAACTCCCCACGTAGTTTGAAAATCAATTTAATAACAAAGACAAAGATCCCTCATTTAGCCTTGACAGGCTCTTGGGAACAAGTGCTGTTTGCGAGCACCTGTGAAGACCAACACGGCACACGAGGGGGTGGGTGGTAAGCACCACGCCCGACCGCCTTTGTATCCCCAGTGGCGATGTTTACACACCGCACCAGGTACTCATTTGAGGCTGAGTCGACCTACGGGAGTCCCAGGACCGGTTCAGATTTTTTGTCATTGGTGTTGGCCGCGAGCGGGAATCGAATTCGGGTCACTGGGTTCGTCGCGCAGCGCGCTAACCGCTAAATGTAATAATACACACAACTCACGCACACACAACTCACGCACACACAACTCACGCACGTGTATGTTTGGCAATGTTCACTGTGTATTGGTGAGCGTAGCGGTGATGGCGTCGTAAACTGCGCCACCAAGATTTCGATTCCCGGACGCGGCTCACGTGGGCGACAAGCGATGTCAGATACAGTGCTGCCCTCCTTCCCCCCTGTCTCAACAGGCACTTGACAGCGTGGTGTCGTACGGTTAAACATGATTAGGTGGAGTCGTTGGTTAGACGGCGCGACACCGAACCGGCGGGTTTGCGAGTTCAATTCAAGGTTTGTGGTTCGTGACCCCTCGGCCTCTTCCTCCCGCTGTAGCAATCCGGGGAGGAAGCAAAAAGCATCGAGTCGAGTCTCGAGCTCCTCGGCCCCGTCATTGGGTTTCAATCACTGAGAGCTTTTAAGAGGAGACCCTTCCCAAGTTTGTTTGAGCAGAAAACCACTTGGATTGGATTTTTTTTGTTGTTGGTCGCAACACGTAAAAAAACAACAACAGTGAGTCACAGGGCAGTCCGGGACAGATATATCCGTACGCAAGGTGAACAGGGTTTGTTTTTTTCACAGCAGTGTTGTGGCCACTAAAGAGGTGATGTTTTTTGTTGTTGCTTATTACAGAGACAAACTACAGGTGGAGGACAGGCGCAGAGCTCATGTGGCAGACAGCGAGAGTCTCTCTGCTTTGACACGGTCACGCGTGGGAGCGCTATGCACGGCTATGCCATGCTCTATAGATTAATTTGGCTATACCCGGCTATGCCTTGCTGTATTATACATTCACTTGGCTATGCCCGGCTATGCCATGCTCTACTATACATTCACTTGGCTATGCCCGGCTATGCCATGCTCGATACATTCACTTGTCTATGCCCGGCTATGCCATGCTCTAATATACATTCACTTGGCTACGGCTATGCCATGCTCTAATATACATTCACTTGGCTACGGCATGCTCGATACATTAACTTGGCCGTCACTGCGATATTGTGCAAGAGTAAGTACATATTTGTACAGTGTACTCACATCGCCACAGTAATGCTGGATGTTCAACAGCATCAGCAACAACATAGTGCCGCACACATACACAAAGCTCACAAAGACAAAATCTCCCTTATAGCCTAAACAGACAGTACGGTTAAGTGCTGTGTGCGAGCAGTGG